TGAGCCCTGACAGCAGCGTGTGCCCCTAGACCAGTGTGTTCCCCAAGAGCAGCGTGAGCCCCGAGATCATTGTGTGCCCCAAGATCAGCATGTGCCCCATGAGCAGTGTGAGCCACAAGAGCAGCATGTGCCCCAAGATCATCGTGTGCCCCTAGATCGGGGTGAGCCCCTAGTTCAGCGTGAGCCCTGAGAGCATCGTGTGCCCCAAGAGGAGCATGTGTCCCAAGATCATCGTGTGCCCCTAGATCAGGGTGAGCCCTGAGAGCAACGTGTGCCCCACGAGCAGCATGTGTCCCCAGATCAGCATGCGCCCTGCATGCATTTGTAGCCCGTGTGCTCGCAGCGTGGCCACTCCAGCTCCCCGGAACCTGCCGCGATGGACGGCCTGGCCTTGGCCGCCCTTCCCTCTCTTTGAGGGGGGGGATGCTCGGAACCCCCACCCACCGCCAGCCCCGCTGCTTTTTCACCAGTGCCCTTCTCCCGCCCGGTTTTGGGCCGTGGGAGGCGGTGACAGCCCCGCCGGCAGCGCTCCCCCGGGCGAGATGTCACCCGCGCCCGGCGGAGGTGGTTCCCATCCCTTCGCTTCTGTCTGTGGCAGGCAGAGACTTTCCCAGCTCCGGCAGCGGGGGCGACTGGGACCTTCCTCTCGCTCAGACGGGGAGGAGGGTGGCAGGGAGGTGACAAGCCTTCCTCCCCTGTCCCCGAGGCAGCTGCGAGCTCGGCTCCGCCGCCCAAACCTGGCTCCGTGATGCTGCTGATGCTGCTGATGCTGCGTGTGGGTGGTCCCCGCCGTGTGGGATGCAGCTGAGAGCAGAGCCCGGGGGGGGGTGGGTGATGCCCAGGGGGTGCTGAGTCCCCCCCCCCAGCACAGCCCCAAGGCCTGGGGTGGGGGATGCTCTGCCCACTCTCCTGGGTGTTTGGGGACAGGAGCAGGGTCCTGTGGGGCAGGGCTGGGGCCGTTGGGGTCAGTGGTGCTGCGGGGATGCTGCAGAGGGGTGTGCTCTTCTCCCTCCCCGGGGCTGTGCTGGAAGTGGGGGGGGCACAAAGCAGGCAGCTAATATTAGATCGCTTTAATTCTGCTGTGTTTTTGCAGCTAAAGGAGAAGCTGCTCCCTCAGCGCGAGAGTTGAAACTCTTTAGCCTTCCTCTGTGTCACCTCTATGGCCATGGATACCTCCAGGTGTGACGTAAGTGAGACTCGGGGGAAAAAAAAAAAAAAAAGAAAACAAAAAACCAACCATCTTCTGTTCAGCATCAAAATCCTATTACCCAGCGCCGTGTTCTGCTGCGCAGATATCAGCCTGGGCACAGATAAGTGGGAAATAGCTCCTGATCTGGGCTGGAGCAGGAGCTGTATCTCGGGCTGCACAGGGCTGGAAGTGCTGCTTCAGTGCGTTTTCTGCTGAAAGAAAATTCCGTTCCCCCCCTTCACCCCCCCCCCTCCTTCC